AAAGTTGTCATTGACTTCATAACTACAAATACACTTCAATGGGAAAAATGTGTAGGTATCAGCACAGATGGTGCTCAGGCAATGTCGGGAATACATAATGGTTTGGTCGCACGTATCCAGAAAGTCGCACCTCTTGTTAAATGGACACATTGTTGCATACACCGCGAAGTATTAGCTGCACGCCGTATGCCCTCCAAAATGAAAATCGTTCTAGACGAGGCAGTAAAAATTGTCAATTTTATTAAAGCCCGTCCTCTTAACAGCCGATTATTTTCTGCGCTTTGTAATGAAATGGGAAGTGATCACGAACACTTATTATTGCACTCAGAAATCCGATGGCTGTCCCGGGGTAAGGTTTTGACGCGGTTGCTTGAGCTTCGAGACGAAGTAAGGTTGTTCCTCATAAACTCTAAATTTCAGTTAACACACTATTTAAATGATTTCGCATGGCTCTCCTCTCTTGCTTACTTGGCGGACATTTTTAACATCTTGAATACTCTTAACTCGAGCCTTCAAGGTACATCTGTCACCGTGTTTTCTGTGCAAGACAAGATAGAGGCAACAATCAAGAAGTTAAATTTGTGGTGCAGCCGTATCGAGAAAGGAAAATACGATTCCTTTCACATGCTGAGTGATTTCATTGATTCCAGTGAACAACCCCTTTCTAGTGATGTTGCTGAAAGTATGATTGAACATATGAGGTCATTGGCATCTCAACTACGTCTGTATTTTCCGTTTGGTCTTGAAAATAACGACTGGATGAAAAATCCCTTTGTAGACTCTGAATTTGAACTTCCTTCTGCCGAGGAAGAGCAACTTATCGAGCTGTCCTGTGATTCGACGTTCAAATTGCTGTTTCCTTCGTTACCGTTACTGGAGTTTTGGTTCCAAGCTAGGTCTGTTTACCCTGAAATTTCCAAAAGCGCTGTAAGACATTTGTTGCCATTTCCCTCTACATATCTGTGCGAGACAACATTTTCTCATCTTGTACACATGAAAAACAGATATAGGAACAGACTTAACGTGGAGCCAGATCTACGCCTGAAATTATCCAGTTTTGATCCTGACATTCGAAAGTTGACGTCTGAAAAACAGCACCAGCCATCACATTAGGTGAGTGTTAAATTCACAATATTACGCCTAATTGATATGTTCGTAATCTTCCGAATATCTCCATTTATAACAGTATTTTATTGTCATAAATGACACATGTAGTGTTGTAAAATTTTAAGTTACTGCTTCATTTTTATGATATGTACTCGTAAAATTAAAAAATTTCCATTTTGGGTTTTATGGGGGCCGCGGTGAATTAACATTCGGTACAGGGGGTCCGCGGCATCAAAAAGTTTGGGAAACACTGATCTAGACAATCGGCTCAAAGATGGCGGTAAGGTTGTCAGTCTTACGTGCCGGCCGCGCTTTACTCCCCAGGAAAATTATTTAATTCCTGGCACTCATTTCTGTTAGAGGCTGAGTAAACCACAGGGCCTAGCGCGGCTGCAAGGATTAGGTCAACTGAAAAAATCCAATGACCTCATCGGGACTTGAACCCGCGATCTTCCGGTTTGTACTTTAGAAATTTAATATCTGATGCAGTGTCGTGTTGATATTCAGCTACAGACAGGCATGTCCACATATCAGACCTTTCATTGATGCAGCCGTTACCGGACTGATGGCCACAGCTCAACGTGTACCGTAGAGAGGAGAATATCGCTGGGAACTATCGGACTTGAATCTGCTTCTGCTAGAAATGATGACAGGATTCCCTTCTTCTCTTCCGGGACAAGTCACTTGCAAATGTTCAGGTACTTTCACAATAATTTGACTGAGAACGGTACATGGAATTAGAGAAATGAAGGCCGTTCTCTGCTTTTCTTTAAATGTGCTGGTCAGCTTTACACTTACCAAATATAAATGTACGTACATGGACGAAGCATCGCTTCTAGCAACAGTCTCGCATTTGCTTTCTTTTTAATTTCTCACCATGCACTAGAAAGTGATGCGGTTGTGAAAAGCAGCTCATCTAGAAATTAGTAAGTAATTACAGGTTTTCAGCCCCCCTAATTACGCAGAATAATTTTTATTTGCCGTCTGTCCGTCTGTATATATGTATATTTATGTATGAGCGCTTGTGCCCCTATCTGACACCTGAGCGGCTGGACGGAATTCGGTCATATTCGGTACTCAAGAATTTATCCCTGTACGCCCCACATCAAGAAAGAGGAACCCTTTACATGGGCCTCAAAACAAAAAATAGAGTTCGACTCCAAGGTAACAGAGTCAAGGCCCGCCGTACATGAGTATTATGTGGAATGTCTTTGCACTATTTTCTCTTTACCGGTGCAAATCACATAAATGTTCCGTACACATGTTTCGGAGTTATCCGCCAATGACATGTAAAAATAGTGCTCGTATGATCTGAATATTATACATATAGTCAAGTACATTTGCTATAACGAACCATATTTTATGTTTAACCTTAAAATAATGGGGCACGCGGTAGCGTAGTTGGTTGAGGCACTATGTAACAAGTCGGAAGGTCGCGGTTTCGATTCCAGATGAGATGGATTTTTTCAATTTACCTAATCCTTCCAGTCGCACTATGGTCCTGTGGTAGACTCAACCTCTAGCAGAACTAAGTACCAGGAATTTTCCTGGGGGTGAAGGGCGGGAGGTCGGCGCATAAGGCTGACAACCTCACCGCCATCTGTGAGCCGACTGTCTAGACCAGGCATGTCAAACTCAACTTGTACAGAGGGCCACCTCAGCCCTATAAATAATAGTCCTGGGCCGCACTTCAAAATTGAAATATACATTAGATTTTGATACAAGGAAATTTAATTCTATGTACTATTTAGGAATAATTTCAGTGTAATTACCTAAAGTCACATATCTTACAGTTTTAAAAGGCAAGAGGGTGCCATTTTTGACAAGTATCAAACAGCTTTTCAATATGTAAAAAGAGAGATTACACAAGAAATTGTGTTAGAAATAGCAAAACATTGAATTTCCTGCAGCCTGCTAATTTATGTCTGCGTGAGACTTCTTGTCTTCTGGTCTGTTGGAAAATTGTCTTTACAAACAATATTTCTACTAAAATTTTAATATTGATTTTAATATCAATTAGCTCTAAAAGTTGAGGGGCCGCACTTTGTGGCTATGGGGGCCGCATGTTTGACACGGCTGGTCTAAACGATGTGGGAGCCTCGACGTCCCACAAACGTATGGGCCTGTTACAGGGATAGCTTAGCCTTAAAATAATGCCGAGAAGCCAGGAAAGATCAATCGACCAAGGCTACGGAGTGGACTACCGAGAAATTAGGGTTCGATTCCCAGCAGAGGCAAGAGATCTTGTCTTCTCCGCACCGCTGGGACTGCCTCGGGGCCCCACTCCGGGGTTTGTCCACAGAGAGTTACATAGTGCGGGTGTTGAAATGTTCATCTTGCCCCCCTCTTCAGAATCGAAGCATGCGCACTGGCCGCGTTTCTGTCTTTATGTAAGGAAAATGCATCTAAACACTTTCTGTGCACTGGTCCTAGAAAGGACCGGTTTTTCTTCGCATATATTTCCAAGCACATAGCCCCATTCGCCCAAACGGGTCACAAATCTCCACCCTTCACCCAATTGCTTTTCCGAAATATAAACCCATACATAAACTCACGCAGAGTGCATAATTCTACCCTCAAGATGGAAGCAATATTTCACACATCCACACCGCGTAGCCATTCAGGAACTGAATTATCAACAGCAGTTGTTGTGTTCTAGAGAATGACTCTGCTTCATGCAATTAGTCTTTAGCTAATCTTTATTTAGTACTGAACGAGGAAATACAGAAGAACAATTCAGCTGTGGAATAATGTAACAGAAGAGACACTCGTATTCTAGTACTACGGAACATTTCCCTTCTATTACAGCTGCATTGTAAGTATTTCTATGCACAAATTATGAAGTTACTCCTAGTTGTAAAAAGTTATCTATATTTTCTTCTCTTCAGTCTCAAGAGATGTCAATACATGCTCTAACTACTACAGATTTAAATAAGCCAAAACGAAGTCTCAGAAGCAACAATACAAACAGGAAGGTCCGTGCCCCAGTTCAAAGCCCAGACGTTACTACATGTATCACTCCTCATTATGTTTCTGTGTTTCTGCTGATTATCACAATAAACATAGAGTTTTTCCCTAAACATTAACCGGCATGTTTTTGTAGCGGAGAAGTGACATGTTTCTTGTGATGTAGGAACTGCAATTTACATGTTATGTGGCTCGGTCTCTAAAGGATTAAATTGTAATCTTCTACACGTGTAGCTCATCACTTCACGTCCGATGTTGCAAAACATCTAAACTGATTCACAAAGCATTCGTTCAAATATCTGGTGACCTATGACAAGAATTTTTCAGAACTCTCGAAAAGTACGAGAGAACCCCACACAAACAAAAGATTCCCTTGGATTCTTTGATCCGAATTGAAGGAGTACAATCAGACAGTTTACTTTTTAATCACATTCTGAACCACAGCACATGAAGAGCACATGATTTGTCTATGGTATCAGAAACAAGCTCTTTGTCACTTTGTTGAGCAATAAATTTCTGTTGCTAGTTAGCACTTTATTTCCTCTTTAACCAACACTATTTAAATTAATAAATAATGAAGAAGTCGTGTTTGTCCTTGCTTTTTCATATTCGAAAGTACCTACAAATGTTGACATAATTTTACATTGAAAGTCTCCACTAAACGCTTCTTGCGAAATTCATTCGGTGCGGTGTTGGTTCAACATTCGGAATGTATGGAAGAGAACAATGAATTATGTAAAGTCGGAAAAATAAAGAAATTTGTAAAACATGTGAACTAGACTGAAGTACACCGATTTTCTCTCATCGGCTACAGGTTATTAAACGTTTCCTTTTTATTCAAGTAAATCTCCCCCCCCCCCAATTTATCAGTAGTTGTGGGTGTATCCCGTATGTTATTTTTTCTTCATTTACAGTACGGACGGGTAATAGCTAAATTTCAGTTCTTTGACGTTCTTGAGAAACATGTACCACTTCAACCGTAAACTCAAATCTAATTTGTAGATAACCGTCTGACAACGAGAGGATTAAATGGGGTCAATTTTGAGTTCATGTTATTATAACAAGAAGAAGTAACATTGTTAGTTCGAAATCTGCTGACTGCTTTGAACCACGACGGAACTGGAGTCATCAATGTCATCCTTAGGCACAGAACACAGGCAGGGCACTAGCTGCATGTTGTGGTAGCTGGCCTGGAAGCTGCTTGGTGACCCCGAGACTGGGGGCGGTGCAGGCTGTACTGCCACCTGGAAGCAGAAAAGAAATTAGTATAATTCCTACGTCAACTAATATTTCTCAGTACCGGATCCAAAATGTGTTGATACCTACACCGGACAATGGAAACTGATTCAGTATCCGAAGTGTTGTGTTTAGAAGAAACTGAAAACGACGGACAGTGTCCGAAACAGACGTCACACTAGCAATAGTATACAAGAACAACCAGCTGTGACCTGAACAACTGGACAACGACAATAAAGAGTCCTATTCTTCAAACAACGAACCAGGACGCGGTATGCATTCATCTCCTTTAATGATAAGAAGTATACAGAACACGAACCAATTGGTTCTAGATTTTAACAAAAAGTCTTTTAAACAATATTTTGTAAATAGACTAAATATAATAATTTATCAATATTTTAACAATGCCATGCACATCTTCGTAATTGTTACAGGATAATATTTTATATCTATGGCATTATAATAGTAGTTTCTGTAAGTACTGATAATGAGTAATGACATTGTAATAATAGTTTCCGTATATATTGATAACGTCCTTCTGAAGATGGTCGCTATGACAGAAACATGTAAAGGATGAAAGTTTAAAAGAAAGCACAGAACTTATCAATCACACCGGACGGCGTTAACAATCTGTTATAGAGTAGTCATTGCCATTTGTAGGTATCCGCGCTTTCCAGTTCGTATCCATTTTTGTTAAGAGCTGTACTAGGAGGTTCATATCTTTGGTTTTTAGTTTGTGTACACACGAAAAATAACCCTTTGTGCCCGGCGCCGGAAGAGGAAGGACTCCGATGACTGGAAGCAGGTTTATTTGCTTCCTACAGATTACCATTATGCTTCTTCGTGTGGCAGTGCTTTATATTCTGTGTCTAGCGTCATTAGCCTTACGGTTCTGTGTGTCCGTGTTTAGCAAAGGGAAGGCTTACGTACACTCCGTAAATTTGTACAGCAGCCGCGACTTCCCACTTCCCTGTATTTCACAAAGCTTTCGTTTAACCAGTTGCGATGTTTTTCAGGAATGTAAACTCGGCCGTTCGCGAGGGATTATTGTGCCAAACGCGGTTTTCAATTATTCTTTACTTATTTAACGACAATTTTTATACTTCAACATCCGAAAACATTTAGGATAAATTGCGAATGATGCATCGGAAATTATGTGCTGGAAAGTTCTAGTGACATTTTGAGGTACTGGATGGGAAATAGAAAAATTAGTTGTTATTAGATATGGCCGCCTCCATGGTATGATGGTCAGAGTTCCTGGCTACAGATCCAGAGAGTTCCGGGTGCGTTTCCCGGCGCTACTAGATTTTCTGAGAAGCAGTGGATCTGGAACGGGGTCCACTCAGCCTCGTGAGGATAATTGAGTAGCTGCTTGAATAGCAAAGTAGCGGCTCCGGTCTAGCAAATCGAAATTAAACGTTGCGCTGACCACGGAGTTCTTTTAGTTTAGGGTATTAGGTTGTGGGCTCGAGTCAACTGGATCAGGACGAAGACTGTTGTTGAATTCTTGCGAACATGATACTGAACTGTCTAATTCCATAAAAGGTGGGAAACTCCTTGACTAGGTGAGCGATTATCAGCTTTTCAAGGTGAACTCTTGTCCAGTGAAGATTAACATTTGCAGTATGTGATGCGCACATCGGAACACTAAAGGCTTAACTTATCTCTTCTCCCAGGAGTTAGGTGTAATCCACTCTGATGAACTCGCGAAGTTTGAAGATAGAGGATTATTTACTACAAGTAAAATTGAAGATTTAAAATGAAACGAACTTCATAGAGTAGAATCCTCCTTGCGATGATGATAGTCGCTCAGCTAGTCAAGAAGTTGTCCTGTTTCTATGGAGCTGAAAAGTTCATGAACTTGTTCAAAGATCACTTTTAGACGCTGTCCTAAATCATTTGAATCCAACACACAAATTATAAATCAATATATTTTATTCGTTAATGGTTATAAACGTGGCGACGGCTTGAATATTGGAGGCTATATATGATTAATTTAACATACTGTGAAGTTCGTCGTATTTTGTAGCAGCTATTTTTAGTAATCACTTATAGTTTTGACGTCATTTTTTTCTTTTTCATTTTTATGCCACTGCACTGTCTCCTTAACACTAACCAACTTGAGTCTACTACTGTCACCACTGTTTCAACACACACATAAACGCTGTACACCGCTTCCAAGCTCCTAATCAGACTCAACTGAACTCGCCCTTGTCTTGTGACTAAGACACGTACGCGTCTGGCTCGCGAGTCCGGCTCGGCGAGGAGCCGGGCTCGGATTAATTTCACCACACACGTATGAGCGTGGCGACCCACACACGGACGAGTTTGGCTCATTGGAACCCGAGCCGAGTCAGACTCTTACGTGTATGGGTCCCTTAAGATTCTGTGCAATTTATATTTCGATCTATATTTCTAGAAAAGTCTGATGCACTTTCGAGGGGGCCTGACATTTGACGTTTCTCGAGGAGACGCGGAGAGGGCGTCTGGAAGCCCCAAACCCAGCCCATGCGACAGAATGTTGGAGTGTTCTCTAGGTCTAGGCTAGAGAAGATTGTGCGTAAAAACTGTCCCTTTCTCCACTTCATGACTCAGGCAGTGACGCCTATTTCGACTTCGCATACTCATTCATTCTTTAAGGACGTTCTCTGAAGAAGAGCGCCTATTAGCAATTATTTTCGCAAGGGGCTGGTTATCAGCCTAAACATACACGTAGAACTCCCAGGCTGGACGATAAGGGTTCCGTCGTTCTTGTGGCACCTGCCTCTCCGTTTTTTCAGCCAGGGGGATTACTATCAGTAGCTATGCTAACATTAGCATAGCCATTTGGGTGTTCAGTACACTAAATTTTATAACTATTAGTGTTTTGTCCTTACTATCTTAACCATTCAGACCTAGATATAAAAAAAAGTTCAAGTGCTGTAGGAGTCTGATACGTATTTCCAAGGACTTTTTGTCCTTTAGTATTTAGTTGTGAGGCAAACGGAACAGTATAATCATTAAAAATAAGTTAATGTCCTGCCACCTAAGTAAGTAACTTCAAGGAGCTGAGCCCTTCCAGTGAAGCCATCACTTGTGCATCTGCTCAAGGACTTCCCAGCATTTTATGGAACCCGAAGGCTCATTACCGTGTTCACAAGAGCCCTCCACTGCTCCCTATCCTAAGTTAATCGAACCAGTCCATCCTATCTACCTAAGATTTATTTTAATATTATCCCCCCAACTACGTCTTGTTCTTCCTAGTTGTCACTTTCTTTCTGGCTACCCACTAATATCTTGTATGTATTCATTTTCGCCATTATTTGTTCTACATACCCTACCCATCTCGTCCTCCTTGACTTGATCAATAATTACAACTGATCAAAATACAGAAGTTTAGCGGTAATCTGGCCGAGACAATTATAGTAAGCTTGAATTGGTCCATCCTGGTCTGTCACACAACAATATTATAAAAGGTTAATTAACTTCGGCCAGTGCGACTGATCACTGGAAGGAACTAATTAACCATTTATAACAATTATAGTAGTATAAGGTTCAGCAGAAACACAGTTGCAGCATAATTTTGCAGATATTGCACCATAAAATCCAGCGATTCACATGAGTAATCATCATTCTGTATGACCGTAGGCATCCTCGGGGCATTCACCATTAAACCAAAGTTACCTTCAGTATTTTCGAAGGTGCCGGTACAGTGCAAATCTCTACATCTTCGATTTCGATACTTTTAGGTCATTTTATAAATCAAGTGTTGCTGATAGCAGTCCGAAGTTGAATGGCAGTAGGTTACGCGCTTGGCTGTATCCGGCGCTGTGTCTCAGTAAACGTAAGAGTTCTGTGTAAGTGAGACAATTAGATTCCCGAAAATCGGCCTAGGATAATATCTGTTGAACCTTCCTTACGTAGGTTATGTCACGTATTTGGAGCTCACCATTATAGGAATTATGTTTACTTTGTTTCGACGAATCGTTTAGGAGATTCAGGCTTGACAGGGATACAAATAACTTCTCTTTCGTACTTTTACGAACATGTTTCTTTGTAACATAGCTGCTGCCATGGTCTCTGTAATAATGAAAGTATTGGTATTTATTGTTCGCTTCATGTTTTGAGAAAGAATTCTTTCCTGTTTTCGACAGTTACTTCTGACGGACATGGAATGTAGCTAAACTCCTTTACAGTAAAAAAAGGAAAAGAAATTAAAAAACAAGGAAAAACATAGGCCTGTGCCACTTTCGCTGTCCTACCTCAAAACGACAAAAACTTTGAGCGACCTGCAACTTTTGTTGGACATTAGTTTCGGATGAGAAAGGGGTAGAGGCAATCAAGGCCCCGAGCGAAGACGCTCGGTGCCTGGGACCAAGCAGGTTAAACCGAATGTTGAGGTCCAGTGTTTGTAATTATGGCTTTGCTTCTAGGAGTTCCTCAGTTCCAATTTCGAACCGAAGACAGGTTAATATAGTATTAGTGCTTCGTCTACGTCACACTAGACTGTTCAAATAGTTCCGAACAGTAGTCTACATAAAGCCATCCCTATAACAGAACGTGGGGCTCCACAGGGTTTTGAGATGTCGAGGTTCCCACATTTTCTGGACAGTCGGCTCACAGACGGCGGTGAGGTCGTCGGCCTTAAGAGCCGGCCGCCCTCCGCTCCCCCCAGGAAGATTCCTGGTAGTCATTTCTGTTATAGGCTGAGTCGATCCCAGGTCTGTAAATATTGAAAAATCGAGTGGTCTCATCGGGAATCGAACCCGCGACCTTCCAACTTGTAGCATAGTGCCTCAACCATGTTACCGCGTGCTCCCACTGTAACCTACATACTAATCATAACTAACTGAGTTGAAACAGAGTCATTTAATACCTGAGCGTGGGGCGCAGGGACGGCGACTGGGTAGGGCACAGCCACAGGAACAGCGTTGCCGCCGTGGTAGTGCTGCCCGTAGTAGACGCTCTCTCGCACTCCGGGCCACTGAACCGCAGCGACATCCCTGGAACACGGGTCACTTTACAGAAGAATTAATATCCTGTCACAGCCTTACCCTTCCCAGCAACTCACATTCTGATAATGAAACCGGTACCGACAAAGCCCACCCTGTCCACTTTCCGTCTTCACAACGTGTGTCCCTAATGGAAAAAAAATTCCCGTAACCACATTTAAAAATTATAAGAAAATTCTGTGGCCACATGAAACATGAATCCTAAAGAATATGAACATTCCAGAACGTTATCTCTTCGTCTTAATCCTTATTGTACGGAAACTAACGGCTGTAAATGTCTCCCAGAATTGAGAATGAGATAAGAGGCATGAATGCATCAACATGAAAATCACTTTAAAACTAACCTGACAAATTATAGCATCAAAATTAGTTTTCATTTGTTCTTTACAGACTGTAGAATCTGTCAAAAACACACAAAATAATACCAATCTTCATCTCTCTACATCTTAATCCTGACGGACAGTACACAGAACGTAAAGAAAAAACTCCATGATTTTAGTCCGCAAGCGAACTATACCGAACGAGCGACCGCCGCTTGTCGGCGAGGTTAGTGTCAACTTTTGCGGGTAGAGGGTGTCGCGTGGTCAGCGCAACGAGTCACCACAGCCGTTAATTTCGGTTTTCTAGACCGGAGTCGCTATTTCCCTGAAGCTCATCAATTATCATCACGAAGCTGAGTGGACCCCGTTCCAGATCCACTATTTCTCAGAAGAAATCTAGTAATCGAACCCGGACCCCTGGATCTGTAGCCAGGACGCTGACCACTAGACCGCAAAGGCGATCGGACACAACACGTAGCGAAAAATAATTAATATCAGCAAAACTTCAAGAGGGAACTAANCCCCCCCCTTCCAAGAGGGAAATAAAGACTGAAAATTAAAAACAAAATATGACTATTTTTAATTTTAAAATAATTTTATATACTTTTAAGGACTGCGAAATTAAAGTTAATTTGACATTTTACTGACCCATTTTGTTATAAGAATTGATATTTGAATCTAAACATGAAATAGAGCACAACCCGTATTTATGCAGCTGTTATGATTAAGTTTTATATGACCTCAGTTATAAATAATGTCGAAATCAGTAATTTTCTGTAATGTTCTAGAAAGAGTGCCCTGAATATAACTCCTTAAGTAGTCGAAACATGCAGACCGAGATGGGAAACTAAATCTTCAACATTTTTCTTCAGCAGCTGTATTTACTTACTTACTCAATCCGTTCCTCTTGTACCTTTACGGTGTCGAGGTTTACTTTCTCATTTTGATAATTTTACAGGCGGTAGAACTCCCTGGACGAGTGATCAGCTCGTCGCAGGGCCTCTACCTAAACACAGAACAACACAAACGCAGAATAAACACCTACACAGACATCCATGCCTTGAGTAGGATTCGAACCCACGATTCTGTCTTCCGAGCGAGCGAAGACAGTTCATGCCTTAGATCGCGCGGCCACCGTGACCGGCGCAGCTCTATATACGATCTTATATTTTTAGCAGTGCCTTAATTAATTAACAAATAGTAGTGTGAGTATAAATATAACAAGCGTGACTATTATGATATAATCCTATTGTAACTTCTCGTCTGTTATAATGAAGACACTTTCGTTTCAAACCCAGTTCTTCTCACGCCGCAACCACTGGATGAGTTCCTATCGTTTGGAAGGAAGCGTCGCCAAACATTCTCCAAGGGCCTCTGTTAAGGTCGAAGCGTGTGAAACTCTGTTCAGCTCAACCTCACGCACGTCACGAGGTTGGAATTCAGATTCTTCGTCGTCCCATCGCTGTCTGGTAGAATCAGTGATAGCACCGCCGGTCCAAATGGAAAAGCATTTTAACCTTCCACACAATCCGCCAACCAACCGGAATCCATTAACCCACTGACATTGTCTGACAGTTTAAAAACTTCTTCTGGTTAGGTGATATTAACTAATTTGGTGGCTGTGGAAAGTGAATGAAGTCCAAATATTTAGTTATCTTTGGAGTTATGACGTCGTGAAATTTTATAGGCGAAGACCACTATAAAGACTAAACGGGATCATAAATCAGAAGACCATAATTTAAACTTTCACCGCCATAAATACTTAAATTTCGTCCTTTATTAGTTGCCCTGTAGAAACGTATTGAGAGTGATCCGAAGCAAACAAGCAGCAAAAAATTATACACATTTTCTTTACGGTGCCACGGTTCTTAGTGGACCGCAGAGCCAAGAGACCGTGAGAACCGGTACAAGCAGCTGCTTCTCTCCGCTTGCGGATTTTCTTATTTTTCCTTCTACCCTGAAGATGGAGGAGATACGTTCATCCGAAACGTTGGTTAACACCACATCTACACGGTGCCACATCTCAGAAGACTGCTTTCTTCATAGTCACCGCAGTGAAAACCTCAAATCTTACATCTACCGCCTTATTTGCAGCTGAGCGCCGAGCGACACCATCGGTGTTCCTCGCAAACATCATTCGAGCCCACAGTGCCATTGTTAACTTAATAAGAAATGTATTCAATATTAAAACATAATATAATTATAAACTGTAAATATAATACGTACGTTTTCTTGGGGTAGCTACCGGAAGAGAAGCTCGGCAGGAAGAATGCTTGTCCGAGGGCCCAACATGTGAGCAGACATCCCCACAGGAGCTGCGGAGGAAACAGCACGCGGCAACAGAATTAAGCAAAACGAAGTGCAATTTCAGTGAGCTCGCAGAAGCACAACACACGTAACACTCAACGTTTCAAAATATGACCACATTCAATAAGAAGTGCTTATGTTAGTTTGAGTCTTATGCAGGCCACTTCTCTGCGAATTCTATAATAGAAAACCATTCTACCAGTGGTTAGTAGTCGTATCTACAATAAAAAATTTTTTCCTGTGGTGCTACAGCCCAAATTTGTGCCTAGGCCTACCTCCATGAAACTCTCCGTTTCACTTCGGTTTACTAGATCTTACACATTCGGTAGGACTCCTTGGGCGAGTGATCAGCTCGTCGCAAGGCCTCTACCTGTAGACAAACACAGAAAAACGCACACAAACATCCATGCCCTGAGTGGGATTCGAACCCACGATCCCGGCTTCCGAGCGAGCGAAGACAGTACATGCCTTAGACCGCTCGGCTGCCGTGACCGACTTCTATAATAAAATAAACAGACATAATTCTTATTAAACAAAGCAAATGTCTCAGCATCATCAGTGAATGACTTCTCTAATCAAGACACCTATTTAGAACAAATTTACTTATTACTCCATATTATTGCAAGTAGATTGTAAGTACGCTAATAATTAAATAAAAAAATTGTTAATAGCACTCGATGACAAAGGAAGCCATTTCCTGGCAAGCACTGGAAATGAGACAAATTATAAAAAGTACAGATAGACCTAATACAATAACTATGACTGCATGAGGTGGCGCGCCATCGTGTTGTACCATATTTGCCGTCTAATCTGGTGAGAAACACCTTCCACCATTCCTGGGAGTTGATTCTTTAAGGCGTGAAGTAATTGCTCCAAATTCAAAATCTCTTTTTGGAACAAATGGTACAGTAAATTGATTTACAATAGTACTAAACAATACGCACTCACCTCCAGCTAGTGCCGAGGTTAAGAAAATGTGGATGTATAGATCCACTCCGCCATACGCCTTCATGGCATAGTGCTTATTTAGTTAAGCACAGGGACAAGTTTTACTGTTTACCTTTACCACACAATACGTTCACCGAAATATGTGTTATGTTGTGCTTTTCTGGTGGCGTGAGAAGCCTGAACTGACCATGAATTTCAATGGTTTGTATTAGTAACCGCATGTTCGGTGAAGACAGTTTCATCTGAACAGAACGCGTTTGCGAAGTTGCCGATACCGACCGAACCGGAAACAAAATTCCATGAGTCTAGCACAGAGCGTGGGTGAGATACTGTCACGTGTATGAGTGACTATAGACGGGGTTCGGATTGGTGACTCGATTTACTGACCACTTACAGGGCGTAACTACAAACAACTATAACACTATCGCTATTTCCGTATTTACAGTTCACTAGAGGAAACAGTCTTTTGTTCTCAGTCTGTTACTAAATGTTTCCTTGTAACGGCTCCAACAGTGGCTATTCCTCTGCCTCCGGGCTCAGATCCCCCCTTGACAGACTCCCGTACAGAACTGTCTAAGCTCTAAACTTGTCCCTTGCTTAGGCCATCTCGGCAAGGGCCACGTAGGAACACCTCTATTGTTGCGCGTCGATTCGTTGCTGCGGGAACTTGTTTATCGAGCCGTTGCCCAGATACGGCCCTGGTGTATCTGCCCATCTCGCAGTCTCTACACGCTACAATTTGATAGAAACAGAACCACGGTTGTGTTACGTCCCCTGCACCTTCTTCTTTCTGCTAGTATATTGCACTTTCGGTCGACGTGCTACTCGCCTGGGTTCCAACTGTCTATCTCTGGGCACTATTTTTTAAATAGAAAACATTGGAGATCGTAAATTTAATAGATAAAAATACATGCAGGAACTAAACGCTGTAATGCCAACTCGAAAGCTGTCTAAGCTCGTTTTCTGTGAAAGCAATACTGACAGCAGCTGACAGTTTCACATGTTTCGCCATGATAACGTTAAGTTTCCGTCCTGAGTCACTTGAATTTGGTCCTCATCATTATACGCTATTCCTGTTACATCAATTTTAATATTATCCGGAACCTACACATACGTATCGAAGTGGTCCTTTCCTCATAGGATTTTGTACTAAAATGCTGTTTAGATTTCCCATCTCCTGGTGTATTTAATATGCATTTACAATCTCATTATACTTGAGTTCATCGCCCTAATAATAATTGAAGAAGAGTGAGATTTATCAAGCTCCACACTATGTAATTGCCTCAATTTTCCTGTTAATCGCTTTTTGATAGGTTCTAATATTTCCCTCAGTGCGTTTTCTCAAATGTTCTTTGTTTTAAGGTAACTTCTGCGTTTAGGAAAATTGAAAATAGTAACTTGGCAAATCGAAACGTCTGAACTGAGTACAAAAAATTATAATATGCTGCAACTTTGCGTTTTGTATTCGCATGATGATAGGCAAATTACCTGACGTATGCAGACTTTGGTCTGATATTTGTGAGACCTAAACGCGTCACTTAATTGCGAGTGTTTCAGTGCTTAGAAACACAGCGAAACTGTAAAGGCAACTGACTGTACACACCAGAATATGCACTTCATAAAACTCAGTTCTCTTACCTCTGGGGCTCTATATCTCTACGAACATCTGATATCAAATATCTGTAAATTTCACGTTGAATTTTGGTGTCCGATGAAAAAACATGACCCACCCAAACCAAGTGTAGCGTGTATTTGGAAGGCACTGAGAAGTTCTCGGGTAATTCAGGGTCCCTACAAAACATGTTTGCATGCAGATAATGCATTTATTGTACAGAAGAGAATTCGCGCCTCTTCCTACGCGGGACCCAAATCCCAATTTCGGGTTAAATAAGATATATTACATTAGCCTGAGAGCAACGTAATTCTTTATTTGAAACAAACTGTTACTATGAAATGAGTTTACCGCTGTCAACATTTTCGTAGACTTTATATTTCGCGATACTTGATGGTCGTCGTTTCAAAAAGTAGTTCCCTGCATAATGAAAATATGTGTATTATAATTCGCTTCTATTTCTTTTGTCTTAAACATTTTTCAGTCATAAAATCTTCTCGGGATATCAGCCGTGTCAGTTGGTTAAATATTACAGACGTTTAAGAGAACATTTCATTCCCCGTCATCAGAGTCTGATGACAAATCAGTCTCCGAAACGTCGGTAATGTTTAATAAGCTGTCAAGGGTGATAGCCCAGAAGGTTTTATCAACTTTAGCAGCGGTGAAAACTTCAGGTTTTACTACGTTTCACTGTGCGGTTACCAACAAATTTTAATTGACATTTTGGACATGGAAGAAGAGACAATTCCCTCTACAGACGGAGTGTAAACCCACACAGCTTTTCATAAAAATTGTATGAAATGATTCACATTAATTCTGTGAAGCAAAATCCTTCTTGCGGAGCTGACACACGCTCAGATAATCAAGAATTCCCTTGCTTTTATTGCTTTTTCATTACAATGCTTATAATAGTCCGACCTTGTACCCTATTTCGAACCAATCGATTCTAGTTCCCATAATAAATTCTGTTTCGTTACAATTTAATTTTCAATAGTAACTAAGAAGTGCAAAAAATATATGTCTGTTAGATTAGCCATACTTGTTTGTCCGCTTGTAATAATTAGGAAAGTATTGAATGGATTTAACGGCATTTGACACATATTCAAATCTTGGTTAAAATCTGATTAAAATATCGGCCACGGTGCGAAATAGGCACATACACAACCCCTACGATATTATGCGTTCATTTCATGTCCTTCTCGCAAGGACATATGAAGCTGTGCACACAAATCTACTACCCCAATTCGCGTCTGATTATTTGTGTCGTAGTGTATATGTTATTTTAGGACGTAAATTGAATAAATCAAGCAAATGGTGTCCTTCGTGTAATAATGTTGTGTGTTGCAGGACGTCAGTTTGTTACAACTTTCCTCAGAACCTTCGACATTCTCGCCACAATATAGCTTTAATTGAAAATATCCTGCTTTTAATCCTTCGCAATACCTACATCACAATTCATAATCACCGAAGCGTGTGTCTTCATTTGCGTACATCCCACAACAGATTTCATGAGTTTAAGACGTTAAAATAAATAATATGACTCATTATAATATATTATGTAGACAATCACGAGATATTTTCACTTCACAGCATTCCTGCCAAACTGCCGAATTCGCCTGCAATACTTCATGATATCCACAATCTACTCACCAGGTCTCTGGTGCGATCAACAGGTGCCATAGCGTCCGTTGGTGTGGGTGATTCTCCAATTGGTTCTGACGCAATCACCTCAACGTGTACCTGGTTTTATACCTCAATCCTTCCCTCCACAAGGGGGTGGGTTGTCTGGAGTGTGCACTGCCCTTGACTGGCAACCATGTAATAGGACTAAAGAGGACCACCAACTGGTTCTTCCTACAGAGCGTATGTCCTCACTCTAGCGCTGAACAAACAGACGCATTGCAATTGATACCAAGCAGGAAAAGCTTGTAGAATTTTAGGGTTCCAAAGGGTTATATTAATTCTTTTGTTTATTTTCCCAGCGTATCAGCTGCTGACTTCATGTATCGCCGATTTTGAATAATTGAGATTATTTAACGAGTCAGTCAATAACTCCGATTATATAGCGCTGAATGACTGCAGGATAATGAATTTAGAATTGGGACGGATGCGGAGAGAAGCTACATTAACACTACTTAAGGTACAGCTCCGGCATCTGCATGGAGGAACTGATGAAAACCACTAAAATCCTCAGTATTGTTGGCTTCTTGCCCTAGATTTCAACCAACTTGTTCGGTGTAGGTTTATAAGTGTTATGATAAGATGATTATAAATTGTACCGTGTGAATGGCTGATCACCCACCCAAGGTGTACTATCAAAAGACGAAAGATGCCATAGAAAAACAATTATAAATGAATAAAGATCAAAAGGCCTGAACATGAAGCTCAAGAAGAAGAAGAATAGTGAAAGTAATTGTTTGACAGGGACACTTCAGGAAGCAGCGGTGATCAATTTCAAGGTAACATTTCGGCACTGTAAGGCCACGAAAAGCAGCCAGGATTGGTCATCTTTCAGCCGAAATGAATCGATCATGTCCAGAATATGATCAGAACTTCTTTCACTGTGACTGTTTCTTCATCCAAAAGAATAAAACATTCCAGGTTTTAATTCTATCTTTCTATGTATCTATGGCTTTACAGCCCTAGTAGACTTCTGCCGCTCTTTCAGGTTCTGAATCTATAGACAGTTGGCAAGATTTCTTGGACTGGAGATCAGCCAGTCGCAAGGACGCTACCTACACACAGAACAACACAAATACAGAATAAACGCACACAGACACCCATGTCTCTAGTGGGAATCGAACCAACCAACCCAGTGTTCGAGAGAGCGAAAACGGTTCATGCCTTAGAGTTCGCGGTCACCGTGCTCGGCAGGTTCGGCAGGTTCGGCAGGTTTCAATGTGTCTGTTTTGTTGCTGCATAAATTTTACTTGTGAAGCTGTAGAAAGAACAGAATATGCCGCTCGAATTCCAATTTTTATTTTCTAAAATATCACTTAGATATGAATTAGTCAAAGATTTATTATTGTAACAAGTAACAAGGACCCTTATAAATGGCGCTAATATTTTTCTTATCTAAGCATAACATTTTTTCTCCATTTTGGCATTAGAAGGTTGTACAAAATTGTCCAGTTATGTCTGTAATATTGACGTCGTTAACCGATTCGGAAAAATAATGGACACAGACCCACTTGAAAGGATTCTGACCATGGTGTATGCTGTACAGAACTATTAGGCTTATTTTGGACTCTATCCATCGTCTGGTATATAAAAGACAAAAAAACACAACGTTTCGGAGACTGGATCTGTCTCCGTCCTCAGGTGGGTGTGGGGCAGGATATACCTACTCAGTTGGACCCGTTAGAAAGAGCTAGTCTCAATGACTGCCCAGTTCTTTGTCCTATATATACCAGACGATGGATAGAGTCCAAAATAAGCCTGACAGTTCTGTACAGCTACACTCGTATCAGTAACAGAATTTCAAAGGGTAAAATTACCTGCACTATCTTCGCTAGCTTGGAAACCGGGATCGTGGGTTCGAATCCCACTCAGGGCATGGATGTTTAGTTTGTGTGTGTGCGTTTTTCTGTGTTTGTGTACAGGTAGAGGTCTTGCGACGAGCTGATCACCCGCCCAAGGAGTCCTACCGAATGTGTAAGACCTAGAAAAACCGAAGTGAACGGAGAAGTTCATGGAGGTAGGCCTAGGCCCACTGGGGCTGTAGTGCCAAGGAAAAAAAATTACCTGCATGAGCCTGTAAGAAACACGCAGAGTTACTGCCTGCAGCAATGGCCTGATTCTGTTACCGTAAGCGATTTAAATTCAACTTTCTCAGCAACTCTCTACCAGTCACTGAGATGACCGGATAATTTATGTTACAGTTACTATTAATAATACACAGAGGCACAGATAATGAGATTGTCGATTATGTTGTAATATTATCTAGACGCTTGTAGGGTAATGATAAATTGCAAATCTGCCCCTACATCTAAGTACCATGGCCGTGAAAAGTCTAGCGACACTGCACGCAGTCTATTTCTCGACACCAGCCGGAATCAAAGATAGGTGTTTTACTAGGCTATTCAATACACCTTATAGTATTTTATCGGCAATCATTTTTTTGCTAGCATATCAGCTTCGCCTGCTCACAGTCAAAATATGACATCCCACACTGAAAAAAAAAACACAAAATACCGAATTTAAGACGCTTTTCTAAATTGTCGTTTCTCATTAAAATCACGACATCTGAGGACAAAGTTGATGTGGGCGGATCTACAATTTAGCAGCTGAATTAGTACAAATGCAGCCAGAGAGCGCACACATATAGCCTCTTTCTGCAGGAATAAGACTCATACAAATGAACTGGTTGCTGCTCTCACCAGTCAACCAATCGTTGCAAGAAAGCTCAAAAGACAGCGGCCCGAAGACTTACATATGTAACCTAAGATGAACCGGCATTGGCCGGCAGCACCTACATTGGCTGTACCGACTACTAAATTTGCTTAATACTCGTATTTTATAGAGTAGATTGTAAATAAACAGGCAATAAAAAAATAGCCTCTTTCAGCATCATAAGAGTTTTTTTTTTCGTATAGATAGGTTTCGGAGCTGAAATCATCTGACAGGAAGTTGACGTTCTAATTCTTTCTGGAATTTCTCTGTCAAGACTGTAGAAGCACAGGGAAGATTTTCTTGCTCAATAACCCTGTCTGTGTTGGGTAAGGTGTCTCGTCTGCATTATGTGTCAGGCCTGTTGCGCAGTTGAGTTGCGTGACCACGAACTCGCACGTCAGCACAGGAGACGCGGGTTTAAACATGCGCTTTAATGGTTCTGTGCTCTTCGCCTCTAAATTCAGAGTCCAGTCCACGTCACTTTCATATTAATTGTATGCTTGTAATTTATTCTTCCAATCACCAATGCTGTTATTATTTTTCGCTACGAAAGTGTGAGGAAATGATTCGATTCCCGGTAGCGACAGTGATTTCTGGTTGTTTTTCTGCTATATATTGTTACATGTACACCCATTGCTAGGCAACGTGTTTGGTAAAGAAGTTCTCGCGAAAACAGATCCTTGGTAAAGAGTCCGTTGTTAGGTTACGCAGCAATAGATGAGGTTGTGTTTTCTATGCGGTCTGCGCACAAACATCAGTAGAGTAACCAGGTTATGCAATCCGTTTCTAAGCAACGGCTGGATAAACATATTTCCGCGTATCGGACGGTGCTATGAAAGCGGTGACGTCATCAACAATAGAGGCGCGTTTTCCGTGGGGTCTGTGCTGAGTGATTATAAGAGAAGGGAGTGACAGAATTAATTCAGCCCTCGTGTGGAAGCGGGGTCGAATTACTACACCGTGACCCTGCGAGTCGTAGGAGGCGACGAAAAGGGAAGTCTCAAATCTGAGACAGAGTCCCAAGGGACTCAGACCCGAGCAAGACTGCAGTGGCAAGAGCCAGCAGCATATGCAAAAGGCAGACCAGTCCTCTCGTCAGAGAGGAAGCCCCACAAAAACAAGACCGTAAATGCCAAACAGTAATAACTATCTGGTCATGAGACCCAGATGGGGCCTGCGACTAAGACTTACTGACTGACTGACCGTCAGTCGCAATGTGACTTTGACTTTGACTCCTTCAAGGCAGTTGCGAGTCACGAGTTAACCGTAAACTGGAGGAGTGCGTCTAGAAAACAGTTTTAGTTCCGAGGTTCCGGAGTGACTGAAGACAAAATAGCAAGAAAACTTCATTGTATTTAGAAGTGCTAGTTTCTGTGTTGAGATTCGTTGCTAGGAGACGACTAGTGAAAACGGACAATCTTAGTGCGTGGGCAACGGTGAATTGGAAAGTCTGCAAATCAGTGATAGCGCTGTATTTAAGTGTGATTAAGAGAACTTGTAACCAAGGTGCTAATGAATCCAATCACCCGAGCTATAAATATATATAAAGTAATATGAAAGGTGAAGTGTGTATTTGTGTGCGAGTTTGGGGTATGTGTGTAAGTTTACGCGCATGTTGAAGACCGTCTTCTTATTGTCTCGTAGGTCCCCTAAGTTGCCTCTACCCTTAAGATTTTCCGACCACGTTCTGTAATTCTGATCCCTCCCATGAATGCTACATGCCTAGCCTACGTAGTTGTCCTTTGTTTGCTCACTCTAACAGTAAGTTGGTATGACGCTCTTAGCGTTATTTTCTCCTGTTGGTCTCTCTCTCTGCAGCATACTGTAACGTTCTGTTCTCATGTGCTCTCAACTCAGTTCGTCTCAGCCTGAACCAGTTTAATGTAGCTCATATTTTGAGAGCCTACCTCCTTTTATCACACATGCATCATACAGAATCTGCAATAAATGTGTGTGTTCAATAAATACTGGCTCGTGAATGACTTATGCTCAGTGGTGTAACTCATATCCTTTTTGTTCACTTAAGAATCATTTTAATTCTTGTATTGGGGTTTTACTCAGGTCTGTCTGGTAGAGTGAGGACGGTGTGTCTTTTCAGTCTACGTGTAGTTTCGTTACTGTCTAGTAGGTTCACTGCTAGTGCATTAGTGTGGCTTTCCAGTTTTCTGAAACAAGTCCTATACATCAATTGTAATCCCTTTTTCTCCTTTCTGAACAAGTCTCACAGGTGGCCTCCGCCCCAGTACTTTTACGGATATTACTGCTATTACTTTGTTCTATTGCCCCCACAATCCCAGGGGACGGCTAACGGCTGTAAAGCCCATGCATGTCTCTCTCCAGCATACTTGTATATCCTTT